GGAGATAGAATGAAGCCCACGGAATTCATTCCATTTAGAAGTCTGCCTCTGAAGGTTTCACAGAGAAATCCGGATTCAGACAGTGCTGAGCCTTCCGGAAACCTTGGCCAGCCTTCCAATATTCTAGATATCTCAAACGGCGACAATTCCGGAAATGGCAACTCAGTGCCAATCCATCCGGAAACACCAACAACTTCTATTCTTCAACCAGAAGCTGAACTAGATCAACCAGTCAATCCCAATCAACACTATCTTCGTTGGTTAAGGGATCATCCTCCGCAACAGATCATTGGAGATATTCAATCTGGTGTTCGCACAAGGAGTGCCCAACAGAATCTAGAAGCTATGCTTGCTTGTTTCATCTCACAAGTAGAACCAGAGAATATTGAAGAAGCTATAGCTGATTCTGATTGGATCAATGCAATGCAAGAAGAAATCAACCAGTTTTCCAGAAATGATGTCTGGAAACTTGTTCCCAGACCTACTCATCAACATGTCATTGGGACAAAGTGGGTCTTCCGGAACAAGATGGATGAAAATGGCGTTGTTGTCAGAAACAAGGCCCGGTTAGTTGCAAAAGGATATTGTCAAGAAGAAGGTATAGATTTTGATGAAACCTTCGCTCCAGTTGCAAGACTTGAAGCTATAAGGCTGTTTCTAGCCTTTGCTACTCATAAGGACTTCAAAGTCTATCAAATGGATGTCAAAAGCGCATTTCTCAACGGAAACCTAGAGGAAGAAGTGTATGTAGAACAACCACTAGGATTTGAGTTACACACTAAGGGAGATCAGGTGTATAGACTCAAGAAGGCGCTATATGGACTCAAACAAGCACCAAGAGCTTCGTATGATACATTGTCTCAATTTCTTATAGACAATGGATTTACCAAAGGAGTAATTGACAAGACATTATTCAAGCTACAAGATGGAGAAGATCTCCTATTAGTTTAGATCTATGTGGACGATATCATATTTGGCTCAACGAAGGAAGATCTATGCACCAAGTTTTCAACCCTCATGCAAGGAAAATTTGAGATGAGCATGATGGGGGAACTCAACTACTTCCTTGGCCTTCAAATCAAACAGAGAAGTGAAGGCACTCTCATCAATCAAGCTAAATATACAAGGGATCTTATCAAGAAGTTCAA